TAGGAAGAACCAATATAGTGAAAATGCCCATAATTCCAAAAATACTATACAGATTCAATGCAATCATTATTGAAATCCCAACAGTATATTTCACAGAGCTAGAGAAAACAATACAAAAATTCATTTGGAACCAGAATAGACTTAGAATAGCAAAATCCATTCGAGGCAACAGAGATGTGACACAGTTCCCAACCTGAAACTATACTACAAAGCCACTGTGATAAAAAACAGTATGGCACTGGCAAAGAAACAGATCCAAGGATCAGTGGAATAGATTAGAAGATGTAGAAACAACTCCATACATACTCAGCTACTTCATCTTTGACAAAGGAGCCAACCATCCTCACTGGAGGAAAGATAGCCTCTTTAATAAATGGTGCTGAAAAAACTGGATTTCAACCTGCCAAAGATTAAAAGTAGACTTCTATCTTTCACCATGCACTAAACTAAAATCCAAGTGGATTAAAGATCTAAATATAAAAGCTTCTGCACTGCAAGAACAACGACCAGCAGAGCTAAGAGGCAACCTACAATGTGGGAAAACATTTTTACCAGCTGCTTCTCAGTCAAAGGACTACTATCTAGAATATATAAAGAACTTTAAAAAATCAGACTCCAATATTTCAATATAAAGATCCGATTCAAAAATGGGTATCTGAAATGAACAGACATTTATCAGACAAAGTAAAAGTAGTAAATAAACGTATGAAAAAATGTTCCACATCACCAGTCATTCGAGAGATGCAGATGCAAACAACACTGTGATTCCACCTCCCCCCAGAAAGAATGGTTGCTATCAAGAAATCAACAAATAACCAATGCAGGCAGGGGTGTGGGGAGAGAGAAAGGAACCCTTCTCTATTGTTGGTGGGAGTGCAGACTGGTAACTCCACTGTGGAAATCAATATAGAGACACCTCCAAAAACCAGGATTAGAGGTCCCATTTGACCTAGCTATCCCTCTGCTGGGTATCTTCCCAAAAGAATTAAAAGAATCATACCACAATGATATATGTGCACCCATGTTTTGTAAGTTTTCACTAAGCTCAGACTGGAATTTGACATTTTCTTCCATCTGAACATAAGGCAGCATGCCTCAGTGGTGTTATCATGACCCAGTATTTTGTGACCAGCAGAAGTACAAGTATTTCTTTACAGTGTTTCATTGTCTGCAGGTATCCTGGAGTGTCATCATGGCTGTGCAGTTGGTGGTATTTCTTAGATCTGATTATACCGTCGTGTCAGTGAGGAAGCTCATGGGTCACTGGACCAGACGTGTATTAGTGTGTAACAAGTGACCCCCAACCCCGAGGAGCTAAAACCCACAATTCTATGGCTCCACAGTTTGTGCTGTACTAGTTGGGCGGTTTTCATGGATTTGCCCAGGGACGATGGTGTAGCTTAGTCCTTGGGTAGAGCAAGGAGGCTAAACGCTTCAAGGTGGCCTTGTTTGTGGGCTGGACTGTGGGCCATGTGGTCCACAGGCCCACGCTGGCTTCTTCACCTGGGGGCAGTGTTCTGCTGAGATGTGTGCAGTCCCATACCGCTTATGTTGTGCTCTGGGTTAAAGCAACCAGAAGACCGGTTCAGAGTCCATTTTAGAAAAGGTTGCGTAGGTTGTGAGCAGAGGGAATTTTGACCAAACAGGAGCCACTGTTACAGTAATCTAACCAACTACCATCCCATAATTCTTAAAAATTATTGATGGTTTTGACATAATATCTTTTGTATTCTGACTTCATGCCCTTTAAAGTACTTTTTTTGAGACAGACCCTTTCTGTGCAGTTCCTGCTGGCCTTAAACTCACCGTGTAGCCCAGGCTGGCCTCAAATTCACAGCGATCCTCCTGCCTCAGTCTCAGCCTCCCACGTGCCAGGATTACAAGTGTGTTCCACTGCATCAGGCTAAGGTACTGTTCCACAGAGAGGTTCACAGGCTTCGCCATGTTGTCCAGGAGGACCGTGTGATAACACCAGGTCTCGAGCCCTTTGACTGAAGACAAAACTGGTGTGTTCCGGGGTAGAGGTGCAGAAGGAAAGGCCCTGTGTCAGAGCCTAGTGCCCATGAGGTGAAGGGGCTGAGGGAGGCAGGCCAGGTCCTGTGGCTTATTTGGAAGATTTTGAGACATACAGAGGGCGTTTTCCCGAGTATGGAGAGTGGGCATTGTACATAAACTGTATTTTACAACCGTGTTTTGGCCATTGCTAATTTGGGAGGCTATCTTGGCTAAATTAAGTACACTCTTTTTGCAGTTCTGCAATCTACGGTATCAGTCTTGCTTAGAAAGGCTGCTTGGGTGGTAGCTTTCCAGAGCTGAGAAAATCCATATCCCACCAATTTTATGCTAACATTTACCATCGAATAAAATCTATCATGTTTTCTAATAATCTTCTTTATCAAGATAAGAAGCAGAAGCCCATCTGTTAATTTTTAGAAAATCCACATAAGCCAATGGTAAGATGCTTTTAAGTTTTCAAACTGTTTTCAGAACTTCTGTGTGGTTGTACAGGGGAGCAGAATCTTTTCCAGGTGTCAACAGTGACAGAACAGCCCTGCCGAGAGAGGATGGGGCTGTACTCCGCTTACAGGACGAGGATGGGCAAACTGTTAAGAAATGAGTCTGGCCGACTATTGGTTCATTGTAATGCAAGCCAGAGAGAGAAAACCCAGATGTCTGAAGAGTCAAACAAGGAGCTTGAACTGCTTGTGTACAAATTGCGTTCCACACAGTAGGTTAAATAAATGCAGGTTTCTAAGACAACCTGTTAGTCTGCATGGCCTCAGGAGCGATTATTATACTCCCCTGGAAGAGTACATTAAACTGAGAAGTTTGCACTTCTGCAGGAAACTCTTCAAAATCTAGCCAGTGACTTTTTATGATGACAAGATATAGAACAGATGAAAATCTAATGCCAGAAAGGCCTTTGCCCTGCTCTGTTGGAATTTAACCCTGATCAAGCTTTTCTTCCCCAGCCTTGATCTCTTAAGTCTGTGGACTGCCTTTAGCAAGAGTCCTATTAGTCCATTTTACATGAACCTCATACCCTCAAGGTCCTCTTTTTCATAGTTTTCCATCCACTGAGCCCTCCCTGTGCTCCTTGGCCCTTGTCAATCTCCCCCTGGCCCTAGCTGTATTCAGAGCTGAGCCCAGCCTCGTGACGACCTTGGCCTGGGGGACTGGGGCCCAGCTCCCCTGTGTGGCCTTACACATTCTGTCAGATGTGCGTGTATGTCTCTCACGGACACATTCCCCTTCTTTATAGAGACATTCAGCATGCTGGATTGAGCCAGTCTTTATCTTGGTCAAGGGAGTTGGTGTTTCGACCTATCTTTTCCAGGGGACAGTTTGGCCTCTGTGGCAGCTTGTGAACTTCCGCAGGTATAGTACATAGTCTTTTGCACCTGACTGGTTTCAGACAGCACTGCATTAGTGAGCTCATCCATGCTGCAGACAGCAATATTTACCCGTAGTCAAGTCCATATAATTTCATGTCAAGGGCTGGCACATTATAGACTGAATGTTGAGGTGATCGCGATTCAGGTTTTACCATATGAATCTCCAAGCATTGCAAAAGAAAATGTGAATGTGGTCTTTGGTTTCTGCAGTTTTTGTTGTTGTTATTTTCATTTCTCTTTGTTTGAATAGGAAACTAATCTTATGAATCCTGAATTAAATAAAACTTTGATATCCCTTCTTCCCATGACTGTCAATACATTTTATATGTAAATGTAGATATCTATTGTATAATATGTTATATATTTTACACGAAGCCATAGCTTAATACTTCTGTACAGGTTCAAGAAGAAAGGTAAATGTTTTACTTGATTGCTTTATATAAATCTTCACCTTCACACCTGAGAACACAGGTGTGTTTGTTTGTTGAAAAAAAATCAAATGATTCAGCAGCAGGAGGTACAAAAGATCCAGAATCTATTGCTTTGATTATTCCTGTAGTACATGCACAGAATTATATGGTGCTATAGTAACAAAGTTACAGGCTGTTAGCAATGAACACTCCTCTGCCTATCTTGATGGCTTGCCTCATCCAACTGCTTCTGAATAACCACTACTGACAGTGTTTTGTGTATGCTTACAAATGTACTAATGCCTTGAAGAAAGTGTGGTGTGTATGTGTGTGCATGTGTGGATATGTGTGTATTCCCCCTTTAATACGTAGGATCCAAATAAGCATACCAATCTAGTACTTGCTTTTTATTTTATTTATTTACTTATTTATTAGTACCGGGGATTGAACTCGGGTCCTTGAGCTTGTGAGGCAGGCAACGGCGCCACTGAGCTAAATCCCCAGCCCTAGTACTTACTTTTTATACTTACTAATATTGTAGCTACGTAGTGGTACCTTGCTTCACAAACTTAATTTATTTCGTGATTCTGGCAAAGATGGCCACAGTCATGTTTGCAACCCAGTGTGGAACTTTGAGAACAGAAGACTTTGTGAGCCGAGGCGCCACTGTACTTCCATTTTAATAAAGTTCCTTCTCACTCTTTCTCATAATTTTTCACGCTCCATTTAGTGAATGTGTGATCGTTTATTTCATCATCCCCCAGATAGCAAACATTTAGACTCTTCACTTCTTTGTGTAAGTACATAACAAATTTATTTCTCTTTCTGTTCACCTATATGAAAATATATTTAAGAATGATTTTTAGGTCTTGGGTTGCTGGGTCATATGTGTATGCTTTTAAATTTGGACAGATGAGCTAGATGCAGCCTGCAGTCCGTGCTCATGGTCCCAGCTGCTTGGGAGGCTGGGGGGCATTGCTGGCACCCAGGAGTTTGAGGCCAGCTGGGTCAACAGAGGGATACACCATGTAAAGAAGAAGGAAGAAAAGGACAGATACCACTAAACTGCCATTCAGAAAATGCAGTGAGATGGCCCCAGGAGGTGTGGTTGGTGTTATTTGTAGCTGCCAGATCTTTCTCTACTGTCCTAAGAACTGGAATGAGTTGTTTTCTGCTGCTGTTTCCCTGTTGTTACAGAGCAATGAGATGGTGGAGCTGCAGAGGATACGGATGAAGGATGAGATCAGAGAGTACAAGTTCCGGGAGGCCCGGCTCCTCCAGGACTACACAGAGCTGGAAGAGGAGAACATCACGCTGCAGAAACTGGTGTCCACATTGAAACAGAACCAGGTGAGGTCTCGAAGGTCTTTCGAGTTTTACCCCGGATGGATCCATTCGTTCCGTTTCCTCTGTTAGGAAGGAACTTGTTAAAATGTGTTAAGACCGCTTACTCGCCCCACAGTATTTGTGAGTTGAAATTTCCCAGCCTGCCCATTTCCACTGCAGTGTGGAGGAGGAGACACCCCTGCAAGGAGCGCAGCTTACAGGGACTCTGGGCTCAGATGTCCCTGAGTCACACTGGGCGTGGTCCTTCCCAACTCCGCGGTCCCTGCTGTCCACAGAGGGTGCCACAGCTCCCCGGGCAGCCTGCAGTGAAAGGAAGGGCCAGGAAGTTAGCTGGGGGGGAGGCGCTGCACTGAAGAGCACCCGGGTACCCCACCAGCGTTCATCAGCCCAGTCCCGGGGGGTTTGTGCTGTCCTCCCAGCTCGTCACTGGTCACCGTTCACCCAGGCCCTTCTACCAGAAACGGAAACTTAGGAACTCAGAGGTTCTAAGGAAAAACAGAGGGGAAAATGTACGCGTCTCTTCACTTTCATTTTCTACAAGGCATATGATAATTTTTCCAATCCAGTGTCTAGTTGATCAGTTCAGAAGTATTTGTGTATGTGGGTAGCGAGCTGTTCTTGCTTATTCCCTGCAAACGGATGTACTCTAAGTCCCAGGTCTATTCCAGCTAGGGAGATACTGTGTTTTTCCCCTCTTATTGGCCTTTATTTTCAGATATTAACATCTATTATAAATTGATTTGTTGGGCACAGTGGCTCATGCCTGTGATCCCAGCACTCGGGAGGCTGAGGCAGGAGGATGGCTGTGAGTTTGAGGCTAGCCTGGGCTACATAATTAGTTCAAGGCCAGCCTAAACTACATAGCAAGACCGTCTCAAAAAGCAAACAAGCAACAACAACAAAATGTAAAACTGAACAGTTTATTAGCGTGTAATAGCAGGACATATTTGTTACTTTTTCTAGTTTATTTTTTTCATTCACAGCAGTTATTTATTCTGCAAATGTTCATTGAAGGGCAGATCTCTGTTGTAAACACTATAAACGCTGAAGCTCTGTGAGGAACATCTGGTGGATACAAAGGACACTCTCTAAGCAGTCCCAAGATGGCCATGGAGAGGAAATGTAGAAACAGGTAGCATGGTCCGTGCCATCATTGGAAAGCTCTCAGAGAAAGCCTCTGCCATGGCCACCTTTGTGACCAGGAAGGCCTTTGAGCAGGCTATCCCTGGATCCCAATTCAGAGAACATTACACTGCCAGTAATACTCGTCTGGTTTGTTACATGACGTGCCACTGTTCCTCCATTTTACATCCTTAAGCGCACAAAAGCTTTCTTTGTTTTCACTTTGTACTCTCAGTAATATTTTATTGAAAAAATGTTCTTATCATACTTTTAAGTAATTTGTCCCTGAGTATAAAAATTTCTTCTTTATTAATAATGAAATAAAATGAAGTAATGGAGGTGATCAATTCGTTGCTGCCATCTGCCTATTTCTCTGGGAAGCTGAGGCAGGAGGGTCACAAGTTCAAGCCCAGCCCCAGCAATAGTGACTCAATGCAACCCTGTCTCAAAGAAAAAAATAAATAAGGCTAGGGACATAGCTCCATGCAAAAGCCCTGGACCCAATCCCGGGTGCTGTAAAACAAACAAAAAACTCCACCATATTCCTGATTTATTATGTAAACAGTGCAGCCTTTGACTACTGGATAAAGAAGTGGTGGAGAGAAATGTTAGGGGAGTATTTTCCATCTCTGCCAAGAATTTTGTTTGCTGGCTTTTTGGTTTTGGGGGGGGGTTGTTGTTGTTGTTGTTGTTTTAGACAGCCTCTCATTATGTAGTTCAAGCTGGCCTTGAACTCACTATGTATCCCAGGCTGGCCTCGAACTCACAGCAATCCTCCTGCCTCAGCCTCCGGAGTGCTGGAATTACAGGCGTGGGTCTGATATTATGTTACTGTCCTATATGGGGTATATATGTGTAATATGTGTTCACCTATGGTTGTATGTTGTATATAATCCACATGTGATCCTACGTTTTGGACCCAAAGCCTCTAAGGACACCTGCGTGTGTTACCATCTGGGCGTCCCGCTGTGGGTGTAGATGACGATGCACTTGTTAGATGCCCTGGCCGCCTGGTGGCCTTCTGGCAGACCCAGGCTGTCTTTCGTTCTGTGACTCCGCCCTGGCTTTTCACTGCAGGTGGAGTACGAGAGCCTAAAGCACGAGATCAAGCGCTGCGAGGAGGAGGCGGTGCTGCTCAACAGCCAGCTGGAGGACGCGCTGCGGCTCAAGGAGATCGCCGCGCACCAGCTGGAGGAGGCTCTGGAGACGCTCAAAAACGAGCGCGAGCAGAAGAACGGCCTGCGCAAGGAGTTGGCCCAGTATGTCACCCTCGGCGACAGCCACCTGGGCCTCTCCGTGGACGGGCTCAAGTTCGCGGAGGAGGGTGCTGAGCCCAACAACGACGACAAGATGAACGGGCACGGGCCCCTGGCCAGGCTGAACGGGGACTACCGGACGCCCGCGCTGCGGAAGGGCGAGGCCCTGCACCCCGTCTCCGACCTGTTCAGCGAGCTGAGCATCTCAGAGATCCAGAAACTGAAACAGCAGCTGACGCAGGTAGGAGCTCTGCCGAGAACTTCACAGAGCTGGCCGTGGTGAGCTTTCAGGTTTTCACGTTTGACTTCCAAATTATTGTTACTTTGGCAGCGCTGGGGATTGAACCCAGGGCCTCTCCACTGAATTACGTCCTCAGCAGTTTCTTTTATTTTTATTTTTTTATTTTTGAGACAGGGTCTTACTGAGTGGCTCAGTTGCCTGGAATGGGCTCAGACTTGTAGTCCTCCTGCCTCAGCCTCCCAGAGTGCTGAAATTATAGGCATGTGCCACTAAATTCAGCTCAAATTAAATTTTCAAAAATACTACTTCTTCAAGTGGAAGCTTTGAAAGTAAATTAGTTCAGAACAACAGGACGAAAGGATGTTAAAAAGAAATTTCTCATTTGTGTCACATTAAGAGATAGGTTTCTCTGAGGTACAAATTTGATTTCAGTTGGGTCTGATGAAACACAGACCCTCGACGCTGGCGTTTCTGACCACCGGAATTGATGAGTTTAGGCACAAGTGACAGGACAGAAAGTGCAGTTCCCATCACAGGCAACCGTGTGTACAGCTTCTGGATTACCGGTTACATTTCCCAGGGATTCCTGAAGCCTGACCAGATGTAAAGGACCTCTTATATCAGACTAACCGGGAGACGTAGGATTAGGAAGACAGGACAGATGTGAAGTTAGAGTCTGGCTGCTCCAACATGAGCCAGGCCTCCACTTTCTGGCATCTGAAGCCTTGTCTCCCTGGAATAGGCTTTCTTCCTTCCAGTCCCGCCTCCCCATGGAAAGGTCTGCCTGGACTCAGACCCCTGCTGTGCGGAGCCGAGGATCTGGTTAGCCAGGCCGTGGGCAACTAAATTTAAGGCTTCGTCTTCAGTCTCAGCCAGAGGCTGTTAAGACGCTAGCAGTGACTTATTTGTGTCACAAAGGGAACTTCTAATTTTCTTCCTCCACAGAGACAATAGGTAAAAAGCAAAACTAACAAAAATAGCTGGTGAATTAATTTGTCAGTAGGCTGTTCTTTTAATACTGCATCAAGAATTCACATAACCACCAGTGTTTATGGCTGCTAAAAGAAAAATTAGTTTTGTATTATTTAATTTGAATGGTGAGAAGAAGGTATAAGCACTCATTAAAATGGATTCCCTGTAGATTTTTCACCAGACCACCGGGTCCAGAGGCTTTTTGTGTCTTTGTCTTAGTGGGTGGCAGTGTAGAAGGTGCTAGGAAGAGGGGTTTAGTGCAGAGAGGACAGTGCAGCCATTTGTAACCAGGTTATCCTTGGGGTTAAATCTCAGAGCAGTTCTCACATTTAACCTTAACGGGGAATCAGAATCGAATGACACAAAAGTCTATGAATGATAAATAGCTCAATAAAAAGTACCTTCACACTGAGTTGTATCCCGACCCCTTCACTCCCTCCGTTCATTCATTTACTAATTCACCCATTCATTTAGCTCAGTTACCCAGGCTGGGCTTGATTGAACTCACACTGTATCATCCTAGGTTACCTTTTTGCTGGACACAGTAATCACTGCCCAACCAGCATTTTTTTAAATCAGTATTTCTGAGGAACGTGTTTCATTTAAACTGTTGAGTGCAACAGAATATATCTTCTCATGAGTCATTTTTTCATAATCTCATAGATTTTCCGTAGCCATGTCTGAGTTGTTTCACTTATACAAATATATTACCAAAACACTGTCCTATACGTGCCATAAATTTATTGTAGTTGGCCTTGATGTTAATGAAACTTTTTGTTTTGTGTTTTTTTGGTACCAGGGATTGAACTCAACCTTGTGCTTGTGAAGCAGGTGGCAGAACCACTGAGCTAAACCCACAACCCTGATGTTAATGAAACTTAAAAATACTAGGGCATTTCTGATGAGCAGTAGTACTTAATGCAGCTTGTGATGAGCGCCACTATTCCGGACATTCTAGACATGTACCAATAAAATGCACTGTAGGGGGCTGGGGATTTAGCTCAGTGGTGCCTCTGCCTGCCTCACAAGCACGAGGTCCTGAGTTTGATCCCTGGTACCAAAAATAAATAAATAAATAAATAAAATGCACTTTAAGGACAGCTATCTGAGCCAGCCTTGGTGGTATATGCATGTAAATCCTAGCACTCTGGGTGGCTGAGGCAGGAGGACTGCAAGTTTGAGCACAGAATGGGAGACTTAACCACTTGGTGAGACTGTGTTTCAAAGTACAAAATAAGAAGGACCAGGAATGTATCTCAGTGTGAAGGCCCTGGGTTCAAACTGCCCACCAAAAAAACTGCAAAGAGAGAGATGAAAGATTTGGAATATAGGAAGGTAATATAGAGCATGTGCTATATACATTGTCGTATCCCTGCTGGGTCATATGTGCTGCCCCTTAAGCAAATAATATTGCACTGAAATGTGAGTGTAAAAATTTAATATTAAATATATAACGTTACACATTAGTATTCAAATTTACGAGGTGTAAAACATGTGAGCATTCACACTAAAAGAAGAAAGAAGGCCCCTGAAAGACTATCAGCTGCAGTGGGTTTGCTCCAGGGCTGTGTGAACACTGCCAGCCAGTGAGTTAGGGCATAGCCTTCACCTCTGGTTGTTTGGGGTTAGGGTTAGGGTTAGGCAGCTGTAGGTGTAGCCCTTGCCCGTGTCCATCTCTGCTCACCTTGGTGCTCAACTTACTGCATCTGCACGCTGGGGAGGGAACAGCGCACACCTTCCATGCCGGAGTCCAGAACCCTGTGTGTCACCCCAGATCAGTGACTGCACTGGGGTGATGTCACCAGTTTACAATGACACTGAGGAGCACAGGCTGGCACAGAGCGCCCTCAGGGAGGCAGTGCACAGCTTTTAAGATACTCAGCCGGGTGTGATGCTGCGGGCCTGTAACCCCAGGACCCCGGAGGCTTAGGCAGGAGGATCACTGAGTTCAAGCCCAAAGTACATGGCAAGACCCTGTCTCAAAGAGAAAAAAGTGTTTTTCCTTTTAATTAAGAACCTCTTTGGTGGGTAAGAGGAAGATCAAGAGATCTACTGTATAAGTGGTGATTGTTGTTATAATAATGCATTATGTTCTTAAAATCCACTAAGAGTAGATTGTTTAAAATAAGTATGTGAAGTCTGGGCGTGGTAGTACATGCCTGTAATCCCAGCACTCAGGAGGCTGAGGCAGGAGGATCGCTGTGAGTTTGAGACCAGCCTGAGCTACATAGTGAGTTCTAGGTCAGTCTCACTCCATAGTGAGACCCTGTCTCAAAAAACCAAAAAAAAAAAAAAAAAACCATGTAAATCCATATATATATGTTAATTAGCTTGATTTAACCATTTAAAGTATCATGTTGTGTACAATAAGTATATACAATTTTGTCAATTTAATTGATGTCTGAGTGTGTGTGTTTTATTGGGTATTAAAAACAGAGCCTCTGTAGTGAACTATATTTCCATCCCTTTTTTGTAATTTGAGGGAGGGTCTCGTTAAGTTAATTGATTAAATTTTATTTTTAAAAAGAATCTCTTTGAAAACAGCACACCTAGGCCATACTTTGTTGTTGTTTTTTTGTCTTACAAGGCTTCATGTGCTGTATTTTCCCACCTCTAAGTGTTTATGTATCCTTAGTCCCAGAGGGAAAAGGAAAAAACAAACAAACAAACAAAAAACTCCTTCTTTCTCTCCGCAGTGGGTGTCAGGAATGTTGCCTGAATTGCTTTACTTCTCGGAGGCTCATTAATAAAGGGGAAAGCAATAAATAAGCATACTACTAGTGTCTCTGGTGCCTTTGCTGGAGTTAGGGAAAAACAGAAACCAGGTCTCCTTCAAGATGTTTTACTGCCATCTGCTGGGAAATGGTGATACTAAATACAAAAAAATGAGACTAAGGGAGACTGAGACAGGATTGCTTGAGCCCAGTTCATAGCCGTTGCCTCCTCGAGTTATGTTATGGACATCCTGTACACGTCTACAGTGGAAGCCCTGGTCATGATATCATGCCTCTTTTGCAGAACTGTTGAGAAAAACAGATGGGACAATAAATGTGGAACCAAGTGGAAATCAAAACTATATAAGTTATGTTGTGGCTTGTATCTAGATGTCCCCCCAGAGCCTTGTACAGTTAAACTGGGGAGTTTCAAAGGTGACTGGATTAGGGTGTATGAATGTAGACTAAGGGTGTGATACTGGAGTTATGGGTGTGGATAATAGAAGCCCCAGTCTGGGTGTGGGTGGCACCATAGGTTGGAAGCCTGGGTGGCATACAAAGGGACGGGAGGAAGGTAGGTGGCAGCTGCTGCTTGCTTTTGGCTGCCTTCTACCTGCCACACCATGGACTGTTTCTCCTCTGCAGTGCCCCTCTGCCATGCCACTTGGCCTTGGAGCCAACTGACTGTGGACTGAAACCTCATCCAAAGTGTGAGCTAAAATAAACCCTCCTTTAACTTCGGGCATTCAGTATTTATCTCAGCAATGAGAAAAGCAACTAAGATAGTCACTCTTTCTGTATTGGAAACTTTGTCAATTTTGAGGTGCCAAGAAGGTTATCCACTACCATTTTAAGTGAACAGTGCATACACAAACCATGGAAAGTATGAGACAAGGTAAGTGAGGGCAAGCTCTATCCAAATTAAGAGATGCTTTTTTTCACAGAGCAAATTGGGGTGAATATTTTACTAACTTGTGTCTTCCTAGGTTATGGAGTAAATTACAGGAATGTTTTAAATTTTGAATGATGTAGAGAATTATACTAACTTTCGTCTAACACTGAAGCATACCTACAAGAACTACAGTCAAAAGCCAGGGCTGCAGATGTCTTGGTCGGTGCGAGCAAGGTCCTAGTTAAGTAAGCAGCACTGAAAAGGCGCAGTGAGGAAACATATCTTATTCGTAAAACCAGACAATAGGCTTTGGTAGTGAATGGCTCCACTATGTCATTCCTTATTCACTAGGAGAAATTTTTCAAGGTATTATTGGATCAATTATTTTGGTTTCTTGGTGTCCTCAGGACCTGGCCATCAAATAGATTATAACTGACATTTTGCAGGGACAGTCAAGAACCTTAAATCGCTTTATTAGAATGAAATAAGTAGATCTTGTCTGGAAAAACTAATTTACTTAATTTGTTTAAAGAAGTCTTCTCTGCTTGTGCTGAAATTTCTGTCTGATAAACAGCCTCTGTTTAACTTTATTTGCATACAGATTCTGAGCAGGGAGAACTCCTCAGTCTTTTTTATTTTTATGTTATACTGGATATGTAATTTAACATGTAGTGTGAGAAAACAATGTTTCTGTAACAACTGGAATCCATAAGTTGTATCCCCATGGATGGGGAAGAAATACATTCATATATATATTCTTTTCTCATTGAGTTTATTGGTACTGTTTAGGTATACAGTACAGTTACATTCACTGAACATCCAGTGGTCAAATGACTACAATAAAGACTTCATGAGGCCCAGGGATTTAGCTCAGTGGTTCTGCTGCCTGCCTTGCAAGCACAAGGACCCGAGTTCTATCCCAGGTACCAAAAAAAAAGAAAGAAAGAAAGAAAAGAAAAGAAAAAATGATTTCTTGAAAATTCCTCAAAAAATCAAAAAACTAGAGTTACCAAATGATCTAACTAACAATCACACTTCTGCGTATATCCAAAGGAAACAAAATCAATGTGTTGAAAAGACATCTGCACTCTCATGTTCATTGCAGCAGCACTACAGAAACCAAATATATAACCACCTCAGTGTTTGTCCACAGATGAATGGCTAAAGAAAATGTGGTACATATATACAGATAGTACTTTGCATCCCTTTAAAAGAATGAACAAAGTCTTGTTACATGGGTGAATCTAGAGGATGTTATGCCAAGTGAAATAAGCCAGACACAGGAAGATAAACACTGCACCATCTCACTTATATGTATACTTTTTTGGGTTTTTTTTTTTTGTTGTTGTTGTTAATATGGGGGATCGAACTTGCGCCCTTGTGCTTGCAAGGCAGGTGGCGGAACCAGTGAGCTAAATCCCCAGCCCTATACATACACTCTTAAAGTGGAACTCATGGAATTAGAGTGAATGGTAGGAACCCAAGGTTTGGAGCATGAGAGGAGTACTAGGGGGGCTGTGCATGGGAAAGCGGGGGTAATCAGAATTATCAGGTAGGCAGGAGGAATAAATTCTTATGATCTGTTGCAAGTGTGATATGCTAATAATAATTTATATTTCAGAATTACTAAAAGTAGATTGTAAATGTGTTTACCACAAAGATATGTTGGTCAGATTGTTGTGGCTGTGACAAACACCTGAAATGAATCAATTTGTGAGGAGGAAAGCTTTATTTTGGCTCATGTATAAGAGGGTTCTAGTCCCTGGTCATTGCTCCCATTCTCTTAAGCATGTGGTGAGGGCTATGTCATGGTGGGCAGTAAGTGGCGTGGCCAGGAATCGAAAAAGACAGTCCCAGCATCTCCTTCAAGGACAGGCCCCCGGTGACCTGATCCCAACTCCTCAGGTTCTCCCACACTTCTCTGTCACCACAGACAATAACACCAGCCTTCAGGGGACATTTAATAAGAGAAGATAAGCATGGAGGAGGTGAATCTGTTAATTAGGCTGGGTATACAGGGTATACATAGAACATTACATTGTACCCAAAATATGTATCAGTTATTATATCTCAATTTTTAAAAAGATAGGATTAAGCTAGGCACAGTGGCTCACACACAATCCCAGCTACTTGGAAGCTGAGTCAGTAGGTCACTTCAGCCCAGGCAGTGAGGGAGAAGCTGGGCAACACAGTGAGACACCCTGTATTGAGGGGTAAAGACAGAATTATATACTGAGATGGAATTCATATATAACACAATTCACCCTTTCTAATACTTTAAAGAAATTTATGGGAATCTATAGCTAATAAAACAGCATTGATTCCTTTTCCTATGAAAGTCTTAATATAAAATCTAATATAATAAAAAAAATCTAATATAATAAAAAAGTCTTAATATAAAATCTATGTTCTTTCGCAAAAGACACTATCAGGCCACATTACCTGTAAATATGTTTATTTAAAAAGCAAACACTCTATGAAATGAAAAATAATTTTATAAGATCACAGCAACAATAAGTAGCACATATGTGTAATTACACTAAAGAGCTTGTAAAGGTCAGCTTTTCTAGCAAACAACCATTCCTGCCATTAAAAAGTAAAATGCTTGGTTTGGACAGAAGGTGAAGATTGTAGCAAAAGAAGTAAGGCAGCTCTTCTTAGTCACTTTGGAGTATTATAATTAACTCTCAATCTCTCTTGGAGAAGGTCTTCACAGATGAAGATTAAACAGTGATACTGAAAATGTGTAGTCATTTTAAACTTTAAAGTGCTTCACATTTATTAATTCAATCCAAAGTGAATATTAATAGTTGAAGACCCATGCTTTGAAATCCAAATACATTTTAAGGTACTCTAAGCCAAGTAGCTGAGTGAGAGTATAAAACTGTCTGTAATTTGGTAAATGTTTGTTTTGGTAAGATCAACCTGAATTGTTTGGGTGGGGCTCACTGCGCGCGCGCGCGTGTGTGTGTGTGTGTGTGTGTGTGTGTGTGCCACTCACCAAGTTGACTTCAGAGAAATATACTGAGTGTGGAAAGCAGTGTTGTACACGGGCCATACACACGTGAAAAAGACCATGTTCCACATTCTATTTTCTGAAGAAAATGGTAGAGTTATCCTTTCCACCTTAGAAAATGTTTATGTTAAATATGAACAGGTAAAGTAAAGATTAAAAATTATTCCAAAACCATTACCTTATTTATCATAACACTTTTACACCCCAAACAAGCTTGGCACACATTGAGTACATTTTGTTTTGAACAGTTTATCCAAAGGCTTTTCCTACTGAAAGGTTTCTTGTAAACAGTTTTGTCTATAATCATGTACACTAATCAAAATTCTTAGACTGGGCCAGGGATTTAGCTGAGTAGTTCCACTGCCTGCCTCAAAAGCGTAAGGTCCCAAGTTTGATCCCTGATACAAAAAAAACAAAAAAAAATTAATTAATAATAATGCTTAGACTTTCCAGAAGATACTCATTTAATTTTCAAGGGACAAAGAAGAACAAAAAATTTCTGAATTCCATTTTCACTGAGCTTTTATATTATGCCAGTAATAGAATCTTTAGAAGACATTCCATCTCCCTTATGAAAAGTTAGAATGGCTTGACTTCCAACAAATCCTATCTTACAAACTGTGTGGTTTTAGATTGACGTACCAGAGAGAGCCGCTGAGTAAGGAAGCACCTCCTAATTTAATTTGGATAATGGGAACGCTGGCTGTGCCACAGGTATTGAAATGTCTGCCTGCCTGGCTGGAAAGGTCTGGGTTCAGGTTGGCGTCACACTGAAGTCATTCAGAGGCTGTGTCTTGCCCTTGCAGGTGGAGCGGGAGAAGGCCATCCTGCTGGCCAATCTGCAGGAGTCCCAGATGCAGCTGGAGCACACGAAGGGGGCGCTGACGGAGCAGCACGAGCGGGTGCACCGGCTCACTGAGCACGTCAACGCCATGCGGGGCCTGCAGAGCAGCAAGGAGCTCCGGGCCGAGCCAGACAGGGAGAAGGGCCAGGACCCCGGGGAGGAGGCTCATGACTACGAGGTGGACGTCAATGGCCTAGAGATCCTGGAGTGCAAGTACAGGGTGGCCGTCACAGAGGTGATCGGCTTGAAAGCAGAAATTAAGGCCTTAAAGGAGAAATACAATCAATCTGTAGAAAACTATACTGAAGAGAAGGCCAAGTATGAGAGTAAAATCCAGATGTACGACGAGCAGGTGACAAGCCTTGAGAAGACCACCAAGGAGAGTGGCGAGAAGATGGCCCACATGGAGAAGGAACTGCACAAGATGGCCAGCATTGCCGATGAGAGCCACAACACCCTCAACACGGCCCAGGACGAGTTAGTGACGTTTAGCGAGGAGCTCGCGCAGCTGTACCACCACGTGTGTCTGTGCAATAATGAAACGCCCAACAGGGTCATGCTGGACTACTACAGGCAGAGCAGAGTCACCCGCAGTGGCAGCCTGAAGGGGCCGGAGGATCCCAGGGGACTTCTGTCCCCACGACTAGCCCGGCGGGGCGTGTCATCTCCCGTGGAAACAAGGACCTCGCCTGAGCCAGTTGCAAAAGAAAACGCAGAGGCCAGCAAAGAACCGAGTCCAACGAAGACGCCCACCATCTCTCCTGTTATTACTGCCCCGCCGTCTTCTCCAGTGTTGGATACAAGTGATATCCGCAAAGAGCCAATGAATATCTACAACCTTAATGCCATAATCCGGGACCAAATCAAACATCTGCAGAAAGCGGTGGACCGGTCCGTGCAGCTCTCTCGGCAAAGAGCCGCGGCACGGGAGTTGGCCCCCATGATCGACAAAGACAAGGAGGCCTTGATGGAGGAGATCCTCAAGCTCAAGTCCCTGCTGAGCACCAAGCGGGAGCAGATCGCCACGCTGAGGGCGGTGCTGAAAGCCAACAAGCAGGTAATCTCCTTCTGGTAAAGCAAGCTGGGTAAAGCTGTCGGCCAGCTGAGCCCACAGTTGACTGAGTTTTCAGTAGTACCAAGATAAGAGTTGAAGAGTCCCAGTCACTGGATAAGTAGAACAGCCCAGTTCAGCCAGAATAGAATGGAATATTGTTTCTAGGTGAGCGGATGGGTGAGACAGGAGGGTAGCTGTGCCCAGCTGGGTGGCAGAAGAGGAGACACAGAGGAGCAGACCCAGCTGCAGCTGTGGGATGGCAGTCCAGGTAGTGCTGAGCGGAAGTGAGTGTGGAAACAGAAGGGCAGGGAGGCAGGGAGGCAGGGGCTGGTGTGTCCGTGGACACCAGCCCGGGAGATGTGGCGGGAAAGTTCTGGGTGAATACAGAGTGGGGGAGATCTGGAGCCAGTGCCTGATCACAGCTAAAAGAAGGAGTCCGATGCTAGACTCAATTTCTAAGAGAATGACAAGATAGAAAGGAAGTGTCCCAGCCTGCATCCCTGAGTTGGAGAAGCAGAGAAAATGACTAAGCCTCAGACTCAGGGAAGAAGGAAAGACAGTTGTGGGAAACAGAGTGAGAGAAACAAAGCCAGGTGGACATTACCAACATCTCAAGTAATCTGCAGCAGCAAGACAGGGAAAGAGGGAGGGGAAGGGAAGAAACAGAATGAGAACGAGGTCTCTTCTGCCCCCTTGGTTCAGTTGGGCGTAAGGCCAGAGTTTAAGCTGCTGAGAGTTTTTCTGTTGTTTCCCAACCCATAGAGACTCTGTTGTTCTATATCGAAAGTGAGGTAGCTAAGGATTTAGCTCACTGGCACCACGCCTGCCTTGCAAGCTCAGCATCCTGAGTTCGATTCCCAGTACCAAAAAAAGAAAAAAAAAATCCTTTATCCGAAAGTGAGGTGCTACAACATGAACTTACCTGACTAGTTCCTCTATCTCCTTGGTGACTGAATTTGTTTTCTACCCTTGAGTTGTATGTGAGTAGAAGGAAGCGCTATGAAATACAGACCTGATGGTACTGTTCAGTTTATCTAAGAGCCTCCGGTGACACATATTTGAGGAGTGTGCTGGACAAATCCTGGTGTTGATAAAGACAGTCAACAAACATCTGACACCTTCTTCCAAATGCAAACATTGATCAGCAGCTTGGGCTTGCTTTCTCTTCTGAGACAGGGTCTCGCTTTAATGGAGCCCAAGCTGACCTCAGACTTGTGATTCGCCTTTCTCAGCCTGCTGAGTGGAGCCAGTGCTCTCTGGAGAGAGAGAGGCTTAATTCTGTGTCAGGTGCCTCCTCCTTTTGTCCTAGTCTTGGGGGAAACCACACTGAGGCTGTGTCACCTGCAGCACAGCTTTCTGGTCTTCATCTTCTGTCTCCATAAGCGACACTATGGTTTGTACTGTGAAGACACTTTAGGGACTTAGGGGCAGAGTAGGACTTTGTGCTACCGCTTTAGGGATATAGAAAAAAAAATAAGGAGAATGAAGAATTGATGAAATATCAGACTCCAACTTGATGTCAGAATGAAGTAGATTTTTTTTTTTTTTTTTTTTTTTTTTTTTTTTACTGTAACTGCTAGAATCCAAAGACTCAGTGAGTCAGAGTGATCTTAAATACCCCAAATCAGCTAGGTCCTGAGTTTGATCCCCAGTACCCACACACACAAAAGAAAACTAAGTGACTAGCAGTCTAGTGCAAATTCCACACATGCCTATAGCTACTGCCAGGCCAGAACAGACTGAGCACTCCAGAGTGGGATAAACAGCACCCTAGGCATTCGGCAGAATATGGCAATTCCTAGCAGAATTGTCAGAGTGAGGTGTGGCAACATTTGCATTAGATTAGAGTAGGAGCCTTTGCAGGTTACTAAATGAAACGCGAACACGTTTCTAGCCCACCTCTATCTGTTAGGTATTTGTTTTTTGTTTTTTCTTTTTATTGAGTTTATTGGTACATTTTAGGTATACAGTGCAGTTACATTCATTATTGGGAGCTTGTACCTTTACATGACCGGTCTTGGTTCTCATTTTATATGTTACATATTTAAACACTTTTGGGCCTGTTGCTGGGTGCTTGTGTGCCTTTAATAGCTTCAAGGACCAGCAGATGACAGCGGCTCTGTTTAGACCTTGTGGGATGTTAATTATTAAGATGGAGATGACAGTTCTGTGGCTTAGGAAAGAAAAGGGTGTCTTCTCACTTTATAGTCAACGTTCCATGCAAATCGTTTACTCTCCTTTAGCATGCGTTCAGAGGCACACTGTCTGTGGTACAGCGGGTGGTTCTAAAGCACCATCGCTGGACGAGGCTGTTGTAGGTGTGAGGTTCAGACTAAGGCACTCACCTTCCAGAAGAGGCTTGGCATGCTGGTCAGCGATGTATAAACCAACAACAGCAGTTTGGTGTTACACATGCTTGCAACCCAAGCTTTGGGACCTCACAGAGCAAAGAGCTAGTGTTTCTTGTAGGAGACAGAAAAGAACTCACAGAAGCAATCATATTTGAGTTCGTGTTTTGTTTTGTTTTGTTTTGTTTATACCAGGGTCCAACTCAGGGGTGTTCTATCACTGAGTTACATCCCTAGCCTGTCTTTATTTTTTGAGACAGGGTCTCCCTAAGTTGTCCAGGTGGGACTTGAACTTGTGATCTTCCTGCCTCAGTCTCCCAACTGCTGGAGTTACAGGCATGGTAACCAGCTTTGAATTTATTCTTACAGGATAGGAAGTTATATTTCCAGGGGAAAGAGAGACTAATTCCAAACACAGCAGTAGGTACAGAAGCACACGAGTGACAGAGATAGGATACTATGTGAGGGGAATGCTCCAGAAGGTCTCTGGCTGGAAAGAAGGCTTTTCTATTTAAAAAAAAGCAATGTTACAATGTGTAGAAAATGTAGTAAGTGCAGATGTAGCATGTCTACTAATGGGTTTTAGGTACTTAAAATTACTTAATTCTGAAAAAGCTTTGTGCAGCCTGTGGACAAACAAATCTATAGGCCTTCTTGGCACTTTCAGCAAGCAGTGAGTTTGTACTTCTGTTTAGACGTCACTGTCTCCCTCCTCTTGTCCTCTCCTAGATACCATGTGCTTACAAATTTGTTATAGCTTCAAGTCTCACAACTTAAAGAGTCATCTGTTCAAGATGAATCTGTGTTTGAACTTTAAAAAAAAAAAAAAAAACTAAGCAGCTAATATACTCCCCCCCACATCAATTTCTACACTTTGGATAACTTTCTGAATTTACAGCATTTCTGAAAATTCCACTAAGTAATAGCGCTATAGAACACAAACAAGTATTCCATAAGTAACTTCTCATTTAAATCTGATTTTCAATTCAATCGGGACTAACAGAAAACAACTCTGGAATAAAAACATTAGCAAATCAACATTGAATTAGAAAAGAATCTATAGAAGTTGGCACTTTGCCTAAGAAAGTCGAAACTGTCCACTTCAACCTCAAAAAGGTGCATTAGCAACCCACTGCAATCTCCCTGAGAAATTGCATTAGTAATGGGTTTTTTCACTAGCATTAAAACAGATAATTTTGTATAAACCCAAGTTCTTTGTCTCCCAAATTGAAGAATAAATTTGAGGACAAAAGGAGGCATTTCAGAGAGTGTTTACTAGAAACCCATCTAAGCAGGGAGTAAATTCTGATGCCCTGTGTAGACAGGCAGAGTGAGGGGGCTTATTTTAGAGGACATGAGTTCAAAGAAATTTAAAAAAAAAAGAAAAAAAAGAAAAAGAAACTAGTTATCTTGCATTTTTAATATGTTTTTTTGAAGTTGTATCTGTTTAAAGTCCAGGTCCAGAGATAGGAAAGAGCTTTCAACTAATCTAGCACACCTTCTTCCGGGAGAAAAGGTCCTGCTCTCTCTTCTGATTGTACCTTTTATCCTTCTTTTGTTTACCTTTCCATCTCTGTGGTTGGCTTAACTGCCTAAATTAGCTGTTGAACTCTGGGCTGTTTTCTTTTTCTGACCCTGTTGTTGAGCTGTTCTGCCTACTCATAGCAACAAAACCACACTAAATAAACCAAATTATACCACTACAGTACTGTACTGGATATTTTTATAAAAGTCTGAAGAGCTGTAGCTCAGTTTGTAAAAATAACGCTTCTGGTTTGACTTCATTGTGCACACCACATATCATGTGACCTGTGGGGCAGCCCTGAAATACTTGCCAGTTTTTCTGCATTGATTTAGTCAGTATGGTTTTTACTACTGGCTCTGCCATGCTAGTTCTGGAGTTGAAACACTGTTAATCCAGAAGTGGCAGAAATGCCCCCATCCACATGCAAACAAATAGCTGAATTCATCCCACATTTTGGATCCTCTGTTTTTTTGTTTTTTTTTAAAGATATGATGAAAAAGGGCCAGGGATTTAGCTCAGTGGCTCTGCCGCCTGCCTCGCAAGCGCAAAGAGCAGAGTTCGATCCCCAGTACCAGAAAGAAAAACAAAAAGATACGATGAAGAGTTAAATTTAACTGTAATTCATTGTTTTGAATAAGTTGGGTGGAAAGACTTAGAAAATTCTTGGTTGTTTGTCCTTTCTTTTCCTTAAACATATCATAACCTGGGTTTACAGTTTTCCCTACTATACTCATGTTACAAATTACGGTGGTCTTTGTCTTTTAGTCTGTGCTTCAGGTTCATAGTGTACAGAGAAACTCAAAACTACTAGAGTTCAAACATTTCTCACTGGGAAACTGTGCTTTTAATTAAGTCAGTTCTTGGATACAGTTTCACTTTGGCTCCCTTTTGCCTCAGCCTTCAGTGGTCTGCAAGAAATGTTTACTGAGTGGCTGCCGTTCCCTTTCGCACCTCACATGGCCTGCACACGCTGGCTTCCAGCACAGGCCACTTTACCAGTTCACAACATGTTGGATGTGGCACAGAATCCCCCCGTATGTCAGTGTTTGAATTATGCTTGCGTGGACTCTGACCGAATCAACCCACTTTCCGCTGATGGAAGGGGACACAGCCAGACCCCACACGAGGAAATCCGCCTGGCAGTTTCCTGTGGTGACATGGTAAGCGTTGTGATTTTTTCTACCTCAGACAGCAGAGGTGGCCCTCGCTAACCTGAAGAACAAATACGAGAACGAGAAGGCAATGGTGACCGAGACGATGACCAAACTTCGCAACGAGCTGAAGGCTTTGAAAGAAGACGCTGCCACCTTCTCCTCCCTGAGGGCAATGTTCGCCACAAGGTAACTGGGCTTCTCCCTGAAACTGGCCGTGGTGCACGGGAGGGCGCTGTCCTCACAGTGCGTCTTCAGGAGTCTGGAGCTTGTGTGGTGTGTGGGCCAGGCAGGAAAGCATGGAGAGAATGATTCCCTTCTGACAGGTCTAAAACACGGCTTTACTGTTTGTATTCAGAACCCTGTCCTGGACACTCTGGACCAAGCAGTTTATTACAGAAAAGCACTTTTGTAGCTGCCTCAGCCTGAGAACTGCTTTAGCCCCAGAGTTCAAGGCCAGACTGAGCAACATAGCAAGACCCGGCCTTTAAAAAGCTAAAGAAAAATAATTAATCAGTTACTATCATAATTTTTTGGTGGTGCTGGGGCCTCACGTGTGACAGGCAAGTGCCCTACCACTGAGCTACATTCTCAGTCCAAGGATTAGATTTTTTTTTAAAGACTTTCCCCCCAAAAAAACCCACTTTCTAAAGCAGGCAGATATTTTTCACCCTGAAATATATTTGTGATTAAAGGACATAAAGGTGCTCACCATGAGTATTCTGTTAGAAGATTCTTCTATTTCATTTCTAAAAAGTAAATATGTATATTGCCAAATTTTTCACATTACCCATCTAATTACAACAATTACTGATTTCTGCTCACCCCATGAATTTCTTTTTCCGGCAGCAGTGTATTTTCTTTAAAACTTGAAATAGTTGTTGAGATATATTGATTTGAGACTTTCAGTGTATTGTTGAAATTTTTCTTGTCACAATGCAGTGCCAAAAAGCCACCAATTACATATCTTGTCTGGTACTAATTTGGTACAGAATTCACAAAGCATAACTCTGGCTTTATCTGTAGACGTAGGAAATAATTTATATGTAGCTGATATAAATGTAAAGATCTTGGGCTTTCTGGGAGTCCACTGTAGTCTGTCCAGCTCTTTACTAGGAGATAGAAAGCCTGAGGTCAAGTATGGTGGAATATCCTGGATATGACAGAAAGAAGGTGGGCACCTGAGGCCAGAGGTGGGAGAACTCAAGGGGTCTGGCTTCTGGTCTCAGAACATGGTGGCATTTGGAGATCAGAATTTGTGTACCCCTGGAAGATAGAACAGAGAATAGAAATAGTGACAGTGTCCCCCTTTGGAGAAGGAAATCAGGATTGCATTTAGAATCAAGAGAGCATAAGTTTCCTGTTTAAGAAAGAATATATTTTTGAGACGGGAATTTAGCTTAGTGGTACCACTCCTGCCTCACAAGAGCAAGGTCATGAGTTGGACCCCTCATTTTAAAAATCTCAATATATGAAAAATGTTTTATATATGATTTATCCCCAAATAGTTCATTTTTACAGACATTTGTTTTTTTCAGGTACAATAACTACCTTACTCTATAGCATTTAAAATAATGTTATTTGCCTAATGAATATATGGGCGGCTGTTGAAACGGTGTCTCGCTATGTAGTTTCGGCTGGCCCTGAACTCGTAGCGATCCTCCTGCCTCAGTCTCGTGTGTGCTGTGATTGCAGGTGTGCGCCACCACTCCGATGGTGGCTGCCCAGTGAATATTAGTATAAGGTCCTGAAAGTCACTTCGTGTTTTACAAAGCTCCGATATGTGTATAGATCCCCAGTATACTCCTTTTTTGAGAGATAAAGAAGATGAGCCCCTTCTGGAGTTCATGTTCTGTCAGGCACCCCAGGCTCATGCTGTTTCACTGTGCCCAGTACATTTGGGTTCGCTCCAGGAGACCATCACTTGCCAGCTGGTACCTGAAGAATTATTGTCATTAGCATCATACTGCTTATTTACGGCGGAAACTCAGAAAGAGCTTTTTCCCCACACTGTTTCTTCCTTCCAAATGCGTGTGGCTTCCCCTTCAGGGGAGAAATGGGTTGATGAGCTGATCTTCATGCCTCAGTATAAGTGTGAAGCCAGCCTGAAGGTGCTCCCAACGGGCTGGTCCCCTCCACCTCAGACCCTGCATAAATCTCGAATTCTTTGACAACTCATCTCTTTGTCATCTGGTGAAAAAGTCATTATTTTCCAACTCAGGCAAACCTGCCGTATGAAAAGCAGTGCCAGCTATAGTCTGTACTATTAAGCTAAGATATAAAGTATAGATAAAGAAGCACATGATTTTTGTTTTTTTGGTACCGGGGATCTAACTTGGGTCCTTGCGCTTGCTAAGCAGGCCACTGAACCGCTGAGCTAAATCCCCGGCCCCACTTGACTTTTTATTAATGTTCTTTTGGGTGCTATAGCCATGCCTATAATGAGCTTGTCACATTCCTACAAAGAAATCGCTGTTATACAGTGAAAAGAGCCGTTATAACACACTCAAGTATACCAGTGTCTTAAATATCTAAATGCTACTCAAATTCATAGTAGTTGTCCCTCCCTTTTCAGTGGGAGACGTTCTACAAGTCCCCCAGTGCACTCCTAAAGCCACAGCTCGTACCAAACCACATGAACATACCTATGATAAATTTTATTATAATTAGGCACAGCAAGAGATCAGCAGTAACTAATGATACAGTGGAACAATTATAATAATATACTTTAATAAAAGTTGTGTAAATGTGGGTTTGTCTCAAAAGAGGGAAGACAGTAATATTTCAGGATGACCATTGGCCTCAGATAACTGAAGCTGAGGATAAAGGAGAACTGTACTATTCTACTTGTTCCAGTTTCCCTCGTACCAGATTCCTCCTGACCACTACTGTGCTTGGGTTCCAGATGTGATGAGTATGTTACACAGCTGGATGAGATGCAGAGACAGTTAGCAGCCGCAGAGGATGAGAAGAAGACTCTGAACACTTTGTTACGAATGGCTATCCAGCAAAAACTTGCCCTGACTCAGCGGCTGGAGGACTTAGAGTTTGACCACGAGCAGTCCCGACGCAGCAAAGGCAAACTTGGAAAGAGCAAGATCGGCAGCCCTAAAGTAAGTGGGGAAGCGTCGGCCACCGCGCCCACCATAGACACTTACCTCCTGCATAGTCAGGGCCCACAGACACCCACCATTCGGGGCAGCAGTGGCACTCAGAGGAAAAGGTATGCATGCCGCGATCTTCACAGCATGATGCAGTGGCCAGATTTCAGTTAACTGCAAACATGAATGTGCTCTTGTTGTGGGGGATGGAGGGAGAAATGGCAGCCCAGACGGGAGCTGGTATCGGTGGGCCTTGCTAATGTTGGGCTTTCCAGATCAGAACCTTGTGATAAATGTGTTTATAATTCTTTTCTGCACCCCATCCACACCTCTGAGTTCATCATAATTTAATTTTCAAGTGTCTGTTAATATTTTTGCTGTTCTTTGTATGCATATGTATGTAT